GAGTTTAGAACAGTCCTCTTTCAACTTTCTTAACTTTCTTGAGAATGTCATATCTTTTAAAGATAAGAATTAAAATATGAAACAACATACCAAAAGGTATGAAAAAAAGACATCACATATTTATATATATGCTTTTGTTGTTGTTGTTATGTTGAACCACCAGCCTTCTGGTTAGCAGTCAAGTGCCTTAGACACTACACTATCAGAGCTCCATTTATATACATAGATAGATAGATAGATAATAAAATCCAATTTAAATATATGTGTGAGGGGTGGTTTCATACCTTTTTTATATAAAGAATACCTGAGGACATTCTTACACCTAGTGATTTATAAATTGAATTTTACTGAGAACTGCTTCTCATAGGATTAGTTGCTAATTTAAAAATAATATATGTAAAGAAAAAAAATGGGAAAAAACTCATTAACTCATAGAAATGAGACAATAAGCCCCTGTTTCCATTAGTAACTTATTGATTAGGACTCAGGGTTATAGTACTGTAATCTCTAAACCAAATGTTAGGCAGCATAACTAGTTAGAGCAATGATTCAATATTGTAATGGTAGCAGAAAGCATAGTTAAGTGCAAACTTTTCTACTTAGACACAAATATTAGTAAAACAACTTGTACAAACACTGTCTTCAACCACCTGGACCCAATTTTTTTTTTAAACTCCTTTTCTATTTAAAGGCACAATTCATTTAACTACGTGCCTTAGTTCCATTTGGTATCTGAAATAAGAAAACTAACATGGAAAATTCAGTCATCCAAAGAAAAGCTCACTTCTTTTCCTGTGCTGATACAGCCATTTATCTCTGATATGACGCCTCTAGTCAACATCTTGAATAAAATCATTCGCGTTCTGGGATCCAACACCTAAAAAAGAAATGCATACAATAAAAAAAAGTCAGAAAGATGGCACCAAATTACTTCTCATTAACACATCTGACAATTAGTAAACTGCAAGGTAAGCTGCACTACAATATCCTGCTTGGCTCAATGAGAGCCACTCTGATGATGTTACTATCACTGTGACTTAGCAAATAAAATACAGATGAAGATCAAAGGAACCAGAGACAACAACAACAAAAAAGCTCATTCAGTCAGGGAAACCAAAGTTTACCAGGTTCAAGGGAGGTAGAAATCAACTCTAGGGCAACATTAGCTAATAGGAATATAATGCAAGCCATATTATTTTAAATTTTCTAGTCATTACATAAAAATAAAAAGAAACAGGTGAAATTAATTTTAATATACTTTACTTGACCCAATCAATTTATCTAAAAAATTATCACTTCAATGTGTAATCAATGTAAGAAGTTATTGAGGACATATTTTACATTCTACTTTTTATACTAAGTCTTTAAAGTCTGACGTGTATTTTACATTTAAAGTGCATCTCAACTTAAACTTGCCACATTCCAAGTACCCAATAGCCAGATGTGGCTGGTGGCTGTCATACTGGAAAGGCAGCTATGAACCAGGAGTCAGCACACTACAACTTGTAAGCCAAATCCATACCACAGCATGCTTATGTACAGCCCTCAAACAAAGAATGGCTTTTAGATGTTTAAAGGGTTGTAAAAAAGAAAAAGAAGAATATGAAATGAAGACGGCATGTGGCCCACAAAGCATAAAATATTTACTATTTGATCCGTATAGGAAAAGGTTGCAGACCCCTGCTACAGATGATTAAATCTTGGTAAGATTCTTCAACATCAGAGCAGTCAATTTTGAATAAAAAGGATTCCAAAGTCCTCTTTAAGAAACAGAAGGCAATGTACTTAAAGCCTGACCTTGTCCATTCCTGACCCTAAAGCAATAGCTACTTATTTTGCTTGCAGTTTTAAGAGACACAAGTCCGAGTGCCTTAACCAATGGAGAGGGAAAGTATAAACTGGTCAAGACTGACTATACTTTACAGTCTATCCTTCAAGGAAGTGGCTGTGATCAGGCCAGAACCCTAAAATATAACCAAACATATTATAAACCAAACATACTATAGTCCAAACAGTGGTAGACTGTAGGACTAAAAACCAAACTACAACCATTGCAACTAGAGAAGAATAAAGTGACTGAATAGAAAACCACTACCATCCCTTTTCTACTGTACAGGTAAGGAGAGGGAAGTAAGTTAGTTGGGTATAAGGATCTGGGTAGAGACCTGCACTTCTGCAAAACTGGTAGTTGCATGTTAGGGCCATAGAAAGGAAAAGGACCAAAATGGCTTAAAATACAAAAGGGAAAGAGAGAAATATGATAAGCAAATAAACTTACAGAAAAATATTTATTTTAAAAAGACAGCATAAAACTCAGGATATGCCCTTTATCATTCAAAATTAAACTTCGGAAGAGATGAAGAAGGGATTTCATGCCTAAATTATTTTAGGGTCTTTGAAAATTAAGGCTGCCTTATCTCTCTAGAAAATGAAGACACATAACCCACACTCTGCTGCTGCCCAACTAAGAGTGTAATTTTTCAATTGTACAAATGGCTCTGGGTTCCAGATAGATGCTACTGTCTTGGGGATTGAGGTGGACGACAGAAGAGGTGCTTGTGCCTTAAACCAAGGGTCTGCAGGTTGAAGAGGCTACTATTCCAAAATGTGTGTTTGTGAGTATGTGTATGAGTAGGGGAGAAGGGAGGGAGGCAGCAATAGAAGTGTTCTGACCCTTTAAATCATATTCTTCACATCAAAAATCTGGGCCAAAGCTAACATTCAATCTTAACCCTTGACATGTGGGTCAGTTGTTATTAGTTGCCCCCAAGTCAGTTCTAACTCATGGTAACCCCATGTGTGCAGAGTATAACAGATGCATGGGGTTTTCAAGGCTGTGAGCTTTCAGAAGCAGATCACCAGGCCTATCTTCCAAGGTGTCTCTTGGTGGATTCAAACTGCCAATCCCAAAAGGTCAAAGCCTTAACTGCTTATGCCACCTAGAGATTCTGTGTGGGATAATCAGGGGCCAATTTTTCCCCATTCTTGAACAGAAATAAAACAAGCATAATTTTTAAACAGTAAAAAAATAAGAAAAGATTTCTAACTGGAAATTTGACAGCCTTACCTTTCCTCCTGTCTGTGTCATCCACCTCCCACTCCAGCCATGCTTTGTGGCAAATACCCTATCATCTGGGAAAGCTCACAAAATTCCTGCAGACCTTACTTAGAGATAAAAATTCCTAGGCAGATATTTGCTTTTGCTTCCCCTGACAAAGAGAAAGCATTGCATGGTGGTTTCACATGGTCACAGAGGGACCATAACTCTAATTTATTTACTAATAGTCATATTAAAGTAAAATGCAGGCCTATAAACTCAAAACTATAAAAAGGAGTAATTTTAGCTAACATAGTATTAAGCAAGAAGGATGAAAGCAAAGTACTAAAGAGAAAAAGAAAAGCTAATTTAAAATAAGAGCTTGTGACACATTTCAATTGTACCTGTTCTACAGTTGCTCTGTCTGCCTTATCTTTGATGCGATACCTAACCAAAAAACAAAGAAGTATAGTTGACATGTTCAATAGTGAGAAAAATCAAAATATAAAGCTTCTAAATGTAAATCATCCCAAGAAAATTCCTAAGTAGGTAGTCTGATAACAGATTTCATGATCCTATTATAGCTTCATGACTCAGTGAGACCTCCTTCATAACCCCTTAACAAAAAATTCACTTCCCTAGGGCAAAAAGGAGCATATTTGTAGTAGGAAGAGAAATTTCAATCCAGCAAACAGGACATATTCAAGAAGCATTAAATAAAAGAGATGCTGGACTGAAGTGAACTATGCTGGAGAAAAGAAAATATCAAGTCTGTTTGTACTGTCCTTCCAATCTTTAATGATTCTATCATTCTATCCAAACAGAAGTCAAGCCATTTAAAAGGCTTTTTCTTTAGTCATTTTCTATAAACACAGTTTTTTGTGGTTTTTTTTTTTTTTTTTTTAATCATTTCATGACTGTTTCTGAGTTTGGCATCAAAATGCAGATTCTGATTAGCTTCAGCTAACTTACTAGGTGACAATCTAGCATACTAAGCTAAACAAAGACTGTTGCAAAGTACAATTAATTCAAACAGAAATCTCAGTGAAATAAATTACTATGGCATTTCTTTGAAAGTTGGTATTTCTTAGACACAGCAATAAATCAGATGAAAATTAGTTTTTAACTTCAGTTCTAACACTGCTAATTATATGGTCTTAATTAACATTTTCTATAATAGATTGTTAATGCCTCAGAGTTATCAGCACGTAAGCCAGCTAGACTTAAAACAATTGGCTTTAAGAACAGAAGTGTAAAGGGAAGCAGTTCTCAGTTACATCATTATTTAGTTTTCATTTTCCCTTGAGTTTTTAAAAATACACATAGAAGGGAACAATTTTTAATAAATTCTAAGAAGGGAATATTTTTACACTCTAACATTTTAAAGTGAAATGTACACACTGCTATCCTCAAGCGAACCCCTCCTTGAATTTCATTGACACTATAGCTTTACTGTGTATTTCTTAAGATGACTCATTTAATATTTTCAACTTACAAAGGCAAAGGCACTTAAAAAACAAAAAAGAATTGATTTCATATAAAAATGAACATCCTTACAAAGAACTATGACCAGTATGCTACTAGATTTGCCTAGAACTAGCATCTATGGGCCATGTTTTATAGTTCAAAGAGTACTTACATATCTGCTTCCTTTTGTCGAGACTTTTCAGCAACTTTATTTATGACAGAATCAGTAACATTTAGCTTATCTAAAAATTAAAAAAAAAAAAAGATATAAGCAATATGTAAGACAAACAGACATTAATAGTTTCTGAGTAATAGGATACTTTACCCCTCCTCCTTCTTTTCTATATTTTTATTAAACACAGGATATATTTTGGTACTAAAATTTTTAATGTTTTGAAGATAAACACAAACTTGTATTTGCTTAGTAAGGGTTGCTTGTGTTACTTTCATCATGACAACTGTTATTTCTGAGCCACAGAAATCTAGAAGAAATCCCTTCAAAATATTATAGCTACAAACAGCAAATTTCAGACACTTATTAAAATTTTGTATAACCAGTTAAGATAATAACTGCCTGAATTCCAAGCTTAATACTATAAACTTCAGTTTCATTTCAAATTATAGGTTCCTTATAGGCAATGAAGTACTGCACAATACTTTCACTCATTAATTCAATTATTTGTTGATAGCTTTTGAGTAGTCTAGATATACCAAAGAAAGATGACCTTGGATTTTCCAAGGAATGAGGGTTTAAATCAACATTTTGATCCCTTGCATGTGTTAATTTAACAGCTCACATCTACACGAAAAGTCTCTAGTAAAACAAAATAAAACTATATTCTAGTATTTTCAACATCCTAGCCTAAGATGAAGGAGCTCTGGTAGCATAGTGCCTAAGGCACCTGACTGCTAACCAGAAGGCTGGTGGTTCAAACCCACTAGCCACTCCTCGGAAGGAAGGGTGGGCAATCTACTTTCGTAGTGATACTGCCTCGGAAACTCGAAGAGGGGTCTCTATGAGTTGGGTCCAATTCAACGGCACATAACAACAACAACAACAGTCTAAAATGGTACTATCACAAAATTTAAAAAAGTAGGCAGTAAGTCGAATGAGTATCTGTTACTTCACATTCCTACAACAGATGAGAAAATTAAACAATCAAAGCATAAACTTACGAATTTCCTTGAAGCCACCTTTTTAAAATCACTAAAAGTTTTCTTCTCTAAGTACCATTATTCAGTCAGCAACACTTGACTATATTCATTTGTTAATAAAAATTTAATAACACTTCATGGTTTTTGAAGAATTTTCTCAAATATAAACAAGTGAGGTTAACTTGTTTTATAAACTCACCTAGATTAATTTTATTCTCAAATTTCCGTAAGACTTTATCTGCTGGGGTAGACATTTTGGCAGAATTGTTGTTAGAAGTCTGTCGATTTGCCTAAAAGAAATAGTTAGTCTAAAGCAACAGCTGCAAATAAAAACCTAAAGTTTATCATCACGTTTTTTTCCCACAATCATATTTAACTATTAAAGCACCAATATTTAGGAGTAGCCTAGGAAAGAATCAATCGTACTCGCTTACAATTTTTTGAAAAAGGCATTTGAAATAGGAATAGTTTGAAGTCACTGGCTAGAACAAAGAGTGTAATTTGGGGAATTTCATACAGTTATCTACAATGTGTTCCTCATTATTATAAATTTAAGAAGTTAAAATTAAATGCATTTTTCTAATTTGACTGGTTTACAGATTTAAAACAAAGAATTGCCATTTTCAACCTCCTGCCAAGTATATAATAAAGAGTTAAGACCAACATTAAACTGGTTCTTAGAATTTTATTTTGGATCTAGAATGGGAAAGGGAAAGAGTTAAGAATGAGGCTTCAGTACTTACACTGGCGCTATGCACAAACTAAAGTAATGGCAAAAACAGAAGAAAGTGAAACAACATTCAGGGCCAAAAATAACTACTGGTTCAATCCGTTATCTCAACGTGGAACTCTGAGGCTGAGTTCCTTCTTCTTTGTACAGAACTTTTTAAATATCTGTATTAAATTTAACTTTTAAATATTTCTAAAATCAAAATTATGTATGTTCATGGTAGAAAACACAGATTAAAAAAAAATAATTGAAACGAAAATCAATTGCCTATAATTAAATACACTATTGTTGTTGTTGTTATGTGCCGTTGAGTCAGCCCAGACTCATAGTGACCCCTCCTTGGGTTTCTGAGGCAGTATCACTATGGAAGTAGATTGCCCCATCTTCCTTCCCAGGAGTGGCTGGTAGGTTTGAACCGCCAGCTTTCTGGTTAGCAGTCAAGTGCCTTAGGCACTATGCCACCAGAGCTCCCAAATACATGATAGTTAAAATCTAAATACACACAAACATATTCCAGTCCTTTTGTTTTTTTTAAAAGGACGACACTTTCTTTTGAAATTACTCAGTCTCACCAAGAAATCAATGGAGGGGTTACCAAAACATGATCACAACTAGGTGTGAAATTTCCTTATTTTAAAAATTCATGCATTCTAGTCCATGATAAAGCTATTTTAAGACCAAAGGAATATTGTTTTTTTTCCCTCCATATTTTCCAATAACCTTCATGCTCCAGAAAGATTCTCTAACAATCTTCTGGCTCTGTGAACCCCTGACACACTTAGTACTTCCAGTTTGAGAAGGAGGTTCTACATGGTTTGGTAACTTGCTTTTTGTACATGGTACCTGATGAAAATATGATAAACATATTTTCATTAAGTCTTCAATTGTAATACACTTTATGACTCTATAATATCCCAGCGAGTGAACAATCAGTCTCATAGTAAATTGCAATTGCTGGAACTTTGGGTTATTTCCAATGTTCCTCCACTATAAACAAAACTTGATGTGATCATTCTTGTAACTAACTCATGACAGACTCCTAGAAGAATTGCTGAGTCAATGGTTTGTAAGCTTTTATCACATTTATACTTACTTACTTGGTTATCAACTACATATTCTGTATCAGTTTCACAGAAGCTATCTCTAGATTTAATCTGCATTTCTTTAATTACTAATGAGGTTGAACTTTTTCTCCATGTTTCTCAACCATTTGTAGTAAACTATTTGTGTCTTCTCCTATGCATTTTTAAGGTTTTAATTCTGTGACACTTTAAGTAACTTTATAAATTAATAGATTATGGAAAGAATCTATACTCAGAAAATTATCAGAAATACAGAAAGGACAAAGAATAAAAAAGAATAAAGGCTGGAGCGACAGGGCTATGTAACCAGTGGAAAGTATTTCAGTCACTATATAACCACATGAATGAACAAGCCTCAATGAAAATCTTTTTTTAAAAAAAAGACATAACAGACAACCTAAAGATATATAGGACCATTTATATAAAATACCTGTGGGTTAATTCCATTGGACACATAACCCTTTGTGAGTTTCCCAACTCCATAGTCCCAGTCCCAATCATCATCTTCATCATAATCCTCCTCCACCTCCTCCTCCTCTACCTCATCTTCATCCTTACTTTGAAGGTCTTCATTCTCTTTTTTGACTGTCTTCAAGTTTATGTTCTCACTAGAGATAAAAATGTTTCAGCATGTTTATATATACTCTAATTAAACTCACATATACAATTATTTATGATATAATAATACCAATAAATCTAAAAAGTTCTTTTCCAACTTATCTCCTAATAAGCTCAATCTTCTTAATACCAAACTTTCCTGTTTTTTATACTTGTTGCAGTTGTTTGCTTATTCTCCATGCCCAAGTCCTACTAAGGAAGGAGTATATAAAATATTACATCTGTTTCTGCCTTAATGAAGTTAGAATTTCTGATCAAGGTCCTGACTCTGATTTGTACACTAAAACTCAACTCTAGGAAAATCTCTCACAGAGCTCTTTTAAGGGCATGGGAGAAGCTTTCTGATAAAATTTAGGAGTAAGTCTAATGTAGCCTTACTCAATGCCACATTGCAGCAAAAGGAGCTACAGCAAGATTTCATCACGTTACACAAAGAACTTTGAATCACCCTTGTTCATGAAGGGAAGGAATGGTGAATGCAGAGAACAAGCACTATGAATCAGTGAAGGAGTCTGAGTAGAAACAAAATAGGAAGTGGGGATGGTCAAAATGAGAGAACAGAGTCAGAGTGAAAAGAGTACAAGAGGGTATTTTTACCATGTGAAATTTCAGACCCAGTGTCACTGGGACTTCTTATTTTTTCAAGAGAAGCCAGAATCTGGATTTTTGTGTAAATCTTCCATTAAAAAAAAAAGAGTGACATAGTCAGTTTTTACAAAACACTTTACATACCAAACAAAACATGTCTGCAGGCCAAATTCAATCGAGGTGCTACCAGTTTTGACTTCTCATGTAGAGGCCACAGACAGAAGCCATATAAAATAACTGGTACTATGCACTACAAGCTTAAAAATAGGCATGAGTTTAAGTAAAGTCAGTTATCAATCCCAACTTATTAATTAGTCATGTTTCAAAGGACTCCAAATCTCCATGGGCATTGGTAAGATGAGAACAAATAATTTGCTATTTACTAGGATTTTATGCCACCACTTATCTGTCAGTTTGTCATACTATGGTGGCTTGTGTGTTGCTGTGAGGCTGGAGGCTATGCCACGGGTATTTCAAATAACAGCAGGGTCACTCACTGGGGACAGGTTTCAGCAGAGCTTCCAGGCTAAGACAGACTTGGAAGAAGGAAGGGGCCATCCACTTCTCAAAGAACTGGGCAGTGAAAACCTTATGAATAGCAGTGAAACACTGTCTGATATATTACTGGAAAACTTCATGAATAGCCCTGAAACGCTATCTGATATAGTGCCTGAAGATGAGCCCCTCAGGTCAGAAGCCACTCAAAATACTACTGGAGAAGAGCTGCCTCCTCGGAGTACAGCCGTCCTTAATGATGTGAATGGAGTAAAGCTTTCATGACCTCCATTTGCTGATGTGGCACGACTCAAAATGGGAAGAAACAGCTGCAAATGTCCATTAATAATCGGAACATGGCATGTACGAAGTATGGATCTAGGAAAATTGGAAGTTGTCAAAAATGAAACAGAATGCATAAAGATCAATATCCCAGGTATTACTAACTGAAATGGACTAGCTTTGGCCATTTTGAATCAGACAACCATATTATCTACTATGCCAGGAATGACAAATTAAAGAAGAATGGTGTGGCATTCATCGTCACAAAGAATGTTTCAAGATTTATCCTAAAGTACAGTGCTGTCAGTGATAGGATAATATCCATACACCTACAGGGAAGACCAGTTAATACTCCGAAAAACCAAACCAAACTCACTGTGTTCCAGTCAATTCTGACTCATAGCAATCCCTCCTTCGGTTTCCGAGGCGGTATCTCTACAGAAGTAGATTGCCCAGTCTTCCTTCTGAGGAGTAGCTGGTGGGTGTGAACCGCCAGCTTCTGGTTAGTTGTCAAATGCCTTAGGCACTATGCCACCACAGCTCCCACCAGTTAATACTACTATTATTCAAGTTTACGTACCAACCACCAAACCAAAGATGAGGAAATTAAAGATTTTTTCCAACTTCTGCAGTCTGAAATTGACCAAACATGCAATCAGGATGTGCTGATTATCACTGGTGACTAGAATGCAAGTTGGTAACAAAGAAGAATCACCGGTAGTTGGAAAATATGGCCTTGGTGGTAGAAATAATGCTGGAGATAGCATGAATTTTGCAAGACCAACAACTTATTTACTGCAAATACCTTTTTTCAACAACACAAATGGTGGCTATACACGTGGACTTCACCAAATGGAATACACAGGAATCAGACTGACTATATCTGTGGAAAGAGGTGATGGAGAAGTTCAGTATCTTCAGCCAAAACAAGACCAGGAAGTGACTGTGGAACAGACCATCAGTTGTTCATATGCAAGTTCAAGCTGAAGGTGAAGATAATTAAAACAAATCCACAAGAGCCAAAATATGATCTTGATTATATCCCTCCTGAATTTAGAGACCATCTAAAGACTAGATTTGATGCATTGAACACCAATGACCAAAAACCAGAGCAATTGTGGGAGAACATCAAGAACATCATCCAAGAAGAAAGCAAAAGGTCATTAAAAGGACAGGAAAGGAAGAGAAGACCAAAATGGATGTCAGAAGAGGCTCTGAAACTTGACCTTGAATGGAAAGTAGCTAAAGCAAATGGAAGAAATTACAAGATAAAAGAGCTGAACAGATTTCAAAGAGCAACTCAAGAAGACAGAGTCAATAATTCTAATGAAATGTGCAAAGACCTGGAGTTAGAAAACCAAAAGGTACGAACACACTCAGCATTTCTCAAGCTGAAAGAACTGAAGAAAAAATTCAAGCCTCAAGTTGCAATACTGAAAGATTCTAAAAGCAATATATAGAATGATGCAGGAAACATCAAAAGAAGATGGAAGATACACAGAGTCACTGTAACAAAAAGAATCAGTCAATGTTCATCTACTGCAGGAGGTGGCATGTTATCAAGAACCAATGGTACTGAAGGAAGAAGTCCAAGCTGTACTAAAGGAACTGACAACGAACGAGGCCCCAGGAATTTACAGAATATCCACTGAGATGTTTCAAAAAACGGATGTCAGACTGAAGGCACTCACTCAGGTATGCCAAGAGATTTGGCAGACAGCTACCAAGACAACTGACTGGAAGAGATCCATATTTGTACCCATTTCAAAGAAAGGTGATCCCATGGATTGCGGAAATTATCAAACATCATTAATATCATACGCAAGTAAAATCTTACTGAAGATAATTAAGAAATGGTTGCAGCAGTATATTGCCAGAGAACTTCCAGAAATGCAAGCCAGATTCAGAAGAAGACATGGAACAAGGGATATCATTGCTGATGTCAGATGGATCTTGGCTGAAAGCAAAGAACACCAGAAAGTTATTTACTTGTGTTTTACTGACTATGCAAAAGCATTCGATTTTGTGGATCATAAGAAATTATGGATAACATTAAGAATAGGAATTTCAGAACACTTGTGTTCATCTGGAATCTGTAAATAGACCAGGAGGCTGTCGTTCTAACACAACAAGGGGATACTGCATGGTTTAAAATCAGGAAGGGAGTGTGTCAGGGTTGTATCCTTTCACCATAGTTATTCAATCTGTATGCTGAGCAAATAATCCAAGAAGCTGAACTATATGAAAAAGAACATGGCATCAGGATTGGAGGAAGACTCATTAACAACCTGCGATACACTGCAACACAACTTTCCTTGCTGAAAGTGAGGATGACTTGAAGCACTTACTGATGAAGATTAAAGACTTCAGTCTGCAGTATGGATTATATCTCAACATAAAGAAAATTAAAATCCTCACAAATGCACCAATAAGCAGCATCACAACAAACGGAGAAAAGATTGAACTTGTTAAAGATTTCATATTACTTGGTTCTAACAATCAACACCAATGGAAGGAGCAGCAAGACATCAGATGATGTATTGCACTGGGCAAATCTGCTGCAAAAGACCTCTTTCAAGTGCTGAAGAGCCAATATGTCTCTTTGAAGTCTAAGGTATCCTGGTAGCATAGTGCCTAAGGCACTTGACTGCTAACCAGAAGGCTGGCGGTTCAA